AGTTCACATTGGCAATCGGACTGATTCTTTTCGGTTTACTACGCGATTTCTTAATAAACCTAAAATTATTCAATATATAGGGTGAAGGTTGTGAACCTTATGAACACAGAGTGGGCAGCAATAATTTACAATAATTGAGGTTTATCGGCTGTAAGCTAATCCAAATAAAAATACAAAAAAATGCAACAAATATTTCACTTTAGTATGAAATTAATTTCTTTCACAAAAAAATGTGAACAAAAGGACTCAAAAAACTTCTATAAAAATTATAGAAATTTATATCAGCTGGACGAATCTATTTCATATATTAAAATGTCTTTTTTCAACCAAGTTACTTAATTCTTCACGTCGGTATTATACAATCTGCACATTTTCAATATCGCAAAAACGACAGCAACATATCCCCATTGAAATCGTTTCCTGTATTATACAATAACAATTATTAAATTGTTCCAAACAATTTACTGGGTTTATCGAGAGTCAAACTACTTCCTAATTAATCGCTTGACCTATTGACCGTAAGCCATAATTGCTTCTAACTGTCGCCACTTTAAGATCGAAAGCTACTACAATAATAGTGAAAATTATGTATTGTGACACCTCAAGTAAGTAATACATTTGGTTTATTTGCATTTATCGATAGTGATAAATCGGATTACCCTTGAACCAAATAATGTTACGTCGCCTTGAATCGTTGAACTTAAGGTTTTTCTGTTTACGATGAAATATAATACTTTGTTGGAGGAAAATGCTGTTAAACAGTAGTTCGTTTGCCTATAAATAATTACATTGCTCGGTCTATTTATCGGCAATACAATTCAATTTCAAGGTTTTCCTACTTGCTTAGTCTAGCATTATTTCGGAAAAATCAAAGGAAATTCAAACATGGCTCACGTCTAACTCGTTGCATAAATAAGGCAATGAAGAGCACGTTTGGCCGGAAATCCAGTTATCCTCTTGCATGTACTTATCACTAATTTCTAATGGCCCGATTATTTCTAAATAGCGCTAACTATTTGTAACACAATTTATTTAATAAACAAACTAGTGTACATTTCATAAAACTTTTCAAAAGTTTTAAAATCCCGTTTATGTTAAAAAATATGTTTTTATGGACTGTTTGCAAGGCACGTGGCATAACAAAATACCAACAATGTGAGCTTTCAGAATGGTGAATTGCATATTTTGCTACATTTTTAATATCAATAAGCATGTTGACTCCAAATTAGAAAAAAATTATTCAGCAGAAAAATTATCATAACTATATTTCTCCCTTTTGCGGCACTATTTGCACATTGAGATTTGAGAAACGACAATAAATTGAAGTTTGTTATTGTCTGGTTAAATTATAATTAATGAAGAATTTTGCTTTTAAAGGTTCAGACAGTATTCATTGAAAAATTTAACATGTTACGTCGGTTTAGTTAATTGTTGTTCAACTTAAAATGGAATATTTCTTCAAATTCACTTCAACTTATTTAACATTTGTAGTCTCACTGAGTTTGTTCCCCTTTAATCACGCGAAGAAAATTGTTAAAAACCTCTCGGATGAACAATAGCTTGAAATCGGCAGTGAACAAGTTACAAGTAGCCAAATGACCAATTGTCATTAATACGTTTATGTAAAATTATTTTTCTTTTATTATGATTGTTATATTTTGTTAACAAAATGTTTTTTGTGATTCTCAATCATGCGTTTTATTTAATTAGCTTATCCATAACTACTTTAAGAGAAAAATGTCAATAAGTGTGTTTTTTTTTCAAATCTTTCATCATATTTAGTGTCTAGGACTTATTCAATTGAATGCTTTGGTTTATCATTTTGAAATTCCTTGGAAAAATATTGACTTTTCAAATAGAATCAAGACGGAATGTTGTTACTTGCAAACTTAGTTTCAAAAAAAGTGCCCGCAAAGTTACCGTATAAAAAAGTTACTGAAAGTTTCCACTTTCGCTCTTCAAAAAATATTTAATAAGCTCGCGAGACTCGACAGTCTGACTGAGTTTTACCCTCTTACAATTTGTTGACAACAAATTAAAAAATAAATAATTTTTGAAGAATAGCAGCTTTCAGTCTTCTTGGAAAGTTCGTTTCTTCAGGTCCAGATCTGGCTGTCTTCAAATTTTAGGTTTGATTTGAATTTCATCTTACTCAATCTTAATTCGTTTCTGATAAATCAACTCAATCAAGTGTACTAACGTCCGCCTGTCATTAAAAATTACGATTTTCAAGAAACTTTTTATTGACGTGAATTACATTTAAGTAACGTTTGTCTGAGACGACTTGTTCTAAAATTAAAGCCAAAACCATAAAGCGATTGCAAACCTTTGTTTGCTTAGTTGCTGATGTAAAACAACTCATGGAATTTCCGAGAAGTAAGAATTCGAATATCTGAATCAAAATTGCATTTACCGAATGTTAAGTTTGATTGCCTTTTGTAAGCGAGGCACTCTGTTTGAAAAAACATCTTGTAGTAAATTCCTAAATTAGAAGCGCGTTTAAAACTTTTTCTATCCGAGAATATGTACATGTTATTATAAGTTTAAATACAAGTGAAAAGCAGTCCATTATTAATAGTCGAATGCTAGAAAAAATAGGACATCTAATTAAAAAACGAATGGAAGCTTTGTCTGCCACTTGAGAAAAAGAAACGTGCATTTTTTAGTATCAAAAGTATCAGGCCAACAATGTTTGTATGTGGAAATTGGTTTAATGTATTAACATTCTATGGAATCACAAAACGCTGAAAATGAGGAAGTTTAACTTGCAGTCAAGTAAAACAATTCAATTTCAATTTAATATTAGGAGATATCCGATTTTAACCAATGACGGTTTGGAATCGGAATTCAAAATGAGTCAAGGAAATCAAAAGGCATTAAAATACATAACCGAACTAATTTATGGCCGAACCGACCTTTCAATTCTCCAAAAAAAACATGTGGAAAAATAACCGTTTTTTCAAATTTGTTATGATTGTCAGCCACTATTCCTTCAATCAGGTGATAGATGATGTTTTAAAGCAAAATTAAATACAGCACACCAGATAATATTTTTTCTCTTGAAATATACGCCCTACAACAATATGCTTTTTTAATTCCTTCCCACTTATTCCGAAGATTTGATTTATTTTCCTAGTTAGGGTTGGTTTAACCGTAACTCGAAAAATATATGGATGAATATCCGACCAATATGGCAAAATTCGTTTGCTGATATTTTCTTTACAAAAATATGCCCTTCAGAACATATTTTTCAAATATTTTAGTTGCTTATTTCACCTAAAAAATGTTATTAACAAAACAGATTTCCTCACGTCTTTTATTACAGATTGATAATGAGTGCTCCTTTTTCTCAATTTCTTCTTATTGTGTTTGTGTCAAGGCAGAAAAACATTTTTTAGACGAAATAGACAACAAAGGACTTCTGAAAACATGTATCCGCTTCAATCATAAACAACTTATCTACTGAAACAGGTGTTTGTTGTGAATCGCAACTGTAATAATTGGGATGCAGCTTCACAATATTTCACCCTTCTGTTTGAAATTTACTCACTCATTGAAAAATACCTCTGGATACAAGATTGGAATTTGGTTCTCCTCTGCCACATATTTTGCTTAGCTATTTTTTTCTAAATTTAAAGCACCTGTAAATGTATTTCTAAAAGTTAGCTGAAGCTTAAAAAATATTCTAAACCTTTCCAAATCTGTACAGCCTAGATTAACCTGCTTACTGTATTTCAAAAATCCCATTCCAAAACATGCTTTGACAGTTTTCCTTTGTTGAATAAAATTAGCAATGAGAATCATTTATTTTATAATTGAATTAATGCACACACCCAATATAATACCATAATGAGCTAAATATAAAAGGAAACTGAAATGCCATAAAAGCATGAACGACAGTAATTGATTCCGTAGTCCAGTCTCATGTATGATTCGACACGTTTATCATTTTATTAATAATAAACTAAGACATTTTTGTAAAATTTTCCAGCCCGGACTCCACACGGACATTTCACAAAATAATCCATCAAACATTTAAAGTAACCAGCACTTTGTACTGTAATGCTTTAAATTAAAACACAAATTTATTTACAATTAGCTGTGTCTGCACAAACAAATCATCAAGTCGCTTAGCTTTACTGATGTAATTGACGATAAAGGACTATAAATCAGAATAGTCAAGTAATATCAATAAATCCAGCACATGAATCAACAGCATTATTACATGCATTGTGGCATAAAAATTTAAAAATTTGTCATCCGAGAATAGGGCGTGTAGTGAATTTTAGATCGCATTTAAAGATACTGTACATAATGCCCTCTAATTAGCGTGTCAGCATTGTGCATTGACTGAACAATGTGAAGATGTTTCTAATTTATCTTTTTGCCGATTGTTAGTTAATGGCTCAACTATGGCATATTAACCTTCTATAAGTGCGCAACAATTAGGATTCATTGGCGAATCAATGGAAATTTTACCGGAATAAGGTAATCGGGACGTGTTTTTCACATGAGAATATCATCTGGAAGATTATACAGTCTAGTCTTCAATTTTCTCTGAAGCAAATACTGAAAATCTTTTGCTGAACTTAAATCTTTCATAGTTTTACTGTTTAGAAGACAAGAGGGGAACATTTAATGTAAACGGCCAAAGGCTGTATTATTAATGCAATTCCTAATGCATGTGCTGCTTTAATGGTTTACTGTGTATGTTCCAAGTAATAAAGTAATCTAATGGCAGCATGCAGGCCCACCTTAATTCTATTCATGGAGTTGTTATATGTCCTGCAATTTCCACGCCATTTTCGTTTTTGTGATCTCGTTACGAAATGATACTGAGAATAAAACTCACTTTTTACAGCTAATATTTGTCTAGAGGAAGCATTCGAAAATTATATACGTAATTATAGATAATCGAAGGCCCCGCCAAAAAAAATATTTAAGGGATGGTTTTCTTTATTTTGCATTTCGGGTATGAAATTTCTGTTCCGTAGATTTCTATAGTTAGAGAATCATCAGATCAAGTTTTTATACATTGGCATTATATAACTGTATTGTGGGTATATTTCTCTACTCCTTCGGTTGTTTGATTCTCTATAAGAATATTACATCGACTTGGGTTTCCATGGATCAGCATGAACTTGGTGTTTTTAGTGTTTAAGGTAAGTTTATGTTATTTGGTAGCTCTGAAGAATGAGCCGAAAATAATCCTCCAAGATGTTGCTGTAAAGATTGCATCATCTGTATATATGATGTTGCTTTTGCGCCTCTGCTTTCGTTTTCTAAAGTATCTTTTTTGCTTCCCTCCGAATATGTATTATCGGACATGTTCCTGAAACTTAGTCGTTTTAGAGTCGAAACTTAGTCGTTTAGTTATTCAGTATCGTAAACCACATTAAACATGTTGACCAGAATATCAATATGTTCCACTTCGGTAAACTTTATAATTTAAATGGGAGTCTCGTTCGACCTAACTTGAAAGCTTTGAGGGTCTCAGGCGTTTAATTCATTAGAAACATTTTTCAAATAGATCTTCATTACCATTTGTGCGAGTCAATTAATTCTTATTACATCGAGACTCTTGTGATTACTTTGTGAACACTGTTTTTTTCTTATGTTTCTCTATTTTTTCCTGTAATATTCTTCTTGTGGTTTTCAAACACTGGCTCGCGCTTGTTTTCTATTTTTGCATCCGATTGTTCTTTAAGGATTCATCTGCATGGCTTTAGTATTGCTTATGCTGTTTTTATATGGTTTTATGATATGACTGATTTTTACATTGCAATTATATCTGCGTTTATCAGACGAAATATATTTAGTTTACTCGAGCTTTCTGTTGGATTTTTTTTCTATTCAGTTAATAGATAAGAATGAATAAACTTTGCCATAATTGGTGAAATTTACCCTAATTTTGGAACTGAATAATAATAATAAGCATTATCTGGTCCAATTATTTTGCTGTCAGTTCGGAATTTTGAAAAATATTAAATACAGTTAAAATCAACAAACAAATTAAATAAAGTTTCTACAGGGTGGAAAATCAAACAATGCTATTTTTTTTTTAAGTTTGGCATGCTCCCGGTTGAACAAAGAAAAAACGATTTTTTGGACTTTGCCACCAAGGGCATAAAGATAGAGAGCGGTTTGAGATGGTTTCTGAATTTTTCGTGAATATGTTTTATTTAGAGACTGATCTAAAAAAATCAACTTTCTGGTCTTGCAGTGGTGCTATTTTTCCTTTAAGCCCGATTTTTAAAAGCTAGAGTTCATGTCGAAAATTTAATAAGCGACTTAAAATACAAAACGAAAAAATTCCATATACACGGTTGCATGAAAACACGAATTGTTTGAAAATAAACTTCACTTTAATTGAAAATCTATCAGAATCCCAGATTTCGAGAACAATTGGAGGACTTGGGTCAGTTTTAATGCAACCCTGTGTATTGAATTCTTGTCTCAATTCGACTATAAAGTTTTAGCTTCAGCCTAGCGACTTCAACTGATATATTTTTAAATTCTGTCCAAAACGAAAAAAGTTATCAGTGCAAAAGCAAAAAGTAGATTTTTTGGGATCACCCTGTAACTAAATGAGCAGGGGAGAAATGGAAAAACCGTTTAGATATATGAAGTCCATCTCTAAGCCTCTGCAGTTGAAGTCCAAAAAACTGTTATTTGTTCAACTGAGGAAAAGCCAAACTTTCGGAAATTAAATTTTGTGTAATTTTCCATCGTGTTGGAACTTTATTTGAAGTACATACTTATTTTTTTTCAAAGCAAGTGCCGACAAAAAAGTGACTATGTAAGGCTTCAAACAAAAATGAAATGTATCCAGTTCCAAACAGGGCAAATTTAGTCATGTAACGTTTAATTTGTTGAGCACTTTAATTATATAGTTTTTTTGCTCTGTATGCATTGAGGATTAAAAGGATTGTAAAGTGTTTCTAACAATGTTGTTATTTTTTCTCATGGACAATTCTACACCTAAAGTCGCAGTTGACAACTCAGAATTACAGGGTGTTTCATTCACGGAATCTGAATTATTTTGACCATTGTTTTGTTTCACCCTCTAAGCTCCAAGATTTACAGTTTCCTAGAGATCCACAGTTTTGCAAATGTCCATTTTCTCGAATAAAATCTACCAGATAACCAAAAATTAAACAAAAAAAACGATATTAGTTAGATAAGATTTTGTGCTGCATGTCGGTTTTATATTTCAATTATTTTTTCCGCTACTGTAAAGTTTCCACCGCTTCAGCTTCGAAAATAGTTTTATTTTGCCGTTTTATTTGTGCGTGATGTTTTTGCAATATTATTATCGAGACTTGTCCGATTACTACGCATGAATCACTATGCTCTGGATAAGCTTAGACTTAATCACTTTCCGAATGACTTAAAATTTCGCTTAACTTTAATTACTACTAAGCTAAATGCCATTTTGTTGACTTCATATAACTTTCCTCTGAATTTCTTTGACCATATTTGAAATGCCTGCTGCCATAAACCGTTTCGAAAAAATCCACTTTTATTAATATACAAACTTGCGATTTTAGTGCTTGCTCTCAGATTTTTCTATAATCGATCAAAATTCAAACAACTGAAGCTGCTGCTGATTAAAAATAACTCGGTTTATTTGGCCACATATGATGTTAGTTTCAGTTAGTAAGTAGGAAAAACATCTGGCTGCTCGAGTCAATTGAAATATTTATAAAAAATCGAGTAATATCCCAATATAGATGATTTATGTCAATTGAAAAAATACAGCCAGGGTTTTCCAGATTGTGTTTAATATTGCAATTAAGTTAGTTATAACGCCAGATACCAATGAATACTAATACTCACTTACTGCTGCCGGTTCATTTAAAACGTTTTGATTCGTGTTTTTCGCATCTCCTTCCAGCAATTTGAGGCACTTTCTTCTCTGTTTGTTAGTCAATGTAGCTGAATTGCTAATACACTCGTCAATCGTGATCTTTTTCTTCACTTTCTTATCCACAACATGCAAAACAACCGATGCTATCGATTTGGTTTCGCAGATAAACGGGCGACGTTCCATGCAGTCTTCTGCTTTCCATCTATTTTAAACACAATAAACTTTCATTCTTTTTGTGTTTTAAATTTAAGATATAATGAAATGTTTGACATGGTTAACAATTGAAATGCACTAACTAGATAGACGATTTAGTTGGACTAATGCCAGATTTTGTTAGAAGAACTGGATGCTTTGATGAAATATTTACTTTAACGCAAATAAAAGTCCTTGCTTTAATTACATGTGCGAACTAAGTAAGTTATTGGGTTTATTACCCGCAATAGGCATTTATTAAGTGGTTAATAGCTATTTAATGAAAACAAAATGCATATTATTTGATACCTTTTCCTCACGCCATCAATGAGCAAACATGTCCAATTATCTCGTTCGCTCATGTGAATTTCCTTGAACGTTGGGTACTGCATCAATAATCCATCGGTATATATCCATTTCTTCTGTTTCCAGTCTTTGAATCCTCCCACCCAATAGGAATGCAGGGCTTGAACTGAAAAACCACAAAACAATGTTGCTATTAAATAAATAATTTGCCAAAATATTTCTAGTAAAGCTTAACTAAGTTACAGGCAAATAGAATAATTATTGTTATAATATTTCTAGTTATTTTCCATCCAAAGGACTGGCTACTCACAGAACCTACATTTTCAAAATTGCATTTTGAGACGGAATATTTCATATCGACAATGTAGGAAACTATTTTTAATAAAAGTTGGGTCAGATCATCTTCTTTGATTATGTGTATTACGAAACACACTTACTTAGTGTTTAAGTCGAAGTGAAGTCGGTTAAAGATCAGACATTTTCTAAAATTATGATTTATTTCGGATCGCAAAGCGTCATGGTCTCCATTCGTAAATTTATCTCATTCCCTCACTTCCTCACAATGAAAATGGTCTAAACCTTTTGTTTAATTTATGTAATTATAATATGATGGTGACATTTACAAATAAAAATATTGCAGGGTCGGTTTTGGAGGTGTGATAAACGGTTATTTTTCTGTAACCTTCCAACGATCCAGTTCCCAGGTTCCAAAAGGAACATGTTACTTTTCAAATTTTTCATTAAAAATACAAAATGATGATAGTAGAAATAGTGATGACATATAGTGATTTCCTTTATTAAAAACAAAATTCTCAACGTTGATAAACTTAAGATAAAACATTCTAAAATCAAGAACAAAACATAGGTCTGAGGTAACTACTTAAAGAATAAAAAAACTGATAACAATAAAACTAGAGTGATTAAATAAAATATACGGTTTATATGCGACAATGTTTAAAAATCTCATTTTCATTCAGAAATCATATAACATTTAAGAATAATTTTTTTTGCAGGTGCTTTTTACTGATTCTAGTTCTTCGCGCGTTTATGAGAGCACCTAGCTTTAGAAAATAATCTCTCGCATTTCGTTTCATAATAACATTAAATAATCCACAATAACAACAAACAGAAATGCGTGTTTGGCAAATCTGGACGAAGTATTACTCGACTTAATTTTGGTACCAAATAATTTAAATAAAATATGTCGACCTTACAACGTTTACGGCTATTCAAATAACTTTCATTTCATCTCTGACTGAATTTATATTTAAAAATTGCCAACTTGCTTAAATGCAGGTGCAAATTCTGCTTAAACTTTTGTTAGTTTACATTTCAACCGTGATGGAATTTATGTCTTAGACTCTTAGTTTGCTCATAGCTCATATGCAAGTGCATATTCTGCTTAGTTTGCTGGTAATAGACATATAACTCCCGAGCTAAGTTTCTTGAAAGAAATGCCCTTTTTAAGATTTATTACAGAATGTCAGAAAACTAAATACTTTTAGAATAAAATTGCTGAATTATATCATCGCAGCAATTAAACAAATTTTCGCTGGTTCCTGGAGAACTGAACAGTAATTCTTATAAACGAAAAGTGATACGCAATCATCAAGGGAATGCGCAACTGTATACAACATATTTTCCGTTGACAAAGGGTTACTGAAACTGCTGCAACTGCATAGTTTATGAGACGGTTCCAAAAACAACCTTTAAATCGGCAAACGGCTGAAGCCGGTGCGAAGTGCGCACCGCTATTTTGGTTTTATGAGACGTTTAAAAAAAACCGGTTAAATCGGCTAGCTGAAACTACGGTTACAGGTTACACGTTTGGAACACTGTTATTTTAGCGGTTACGTTAAATAACGACTATCCCTAGTCCGCTGGTACATTTATATTGTGCGTCTTAAACCCCCTCTCGATGCCAAATATGTTTATGTATATTCCTTATCAATAAATCTTTTAGTCCTAAGGTCCTAACCTTTGATCCTTCAACTACCAACTAATCCCAACCTACACCCCAATCCGCTAGGCAAGCGTTACTTCCAACCACCTTCCACGGAAATGTCAAATTCAAAAACAAAACTATCCTGGGCGGGAAGAACAAGATGCTCGCAATCCCGCACTGAAACATCAGTCTGCCTCATGAATTCTGGGGGAGGCAAAAGTTCGATAGGAAATGAATGGAAAAAATACACTATACGGAAGTATGTGTGTGTGTATGCGACTAGAAGAAGATCTGGAGGCCCTAAACAGAGCGTGAAAACATCAGATGGGACATCATAGGACTGTGTGAGACAAGACTGCTAGGGGAGACTTCTGCGGTGTTTAAGTCGGGACATCAACTTTTCCAAAGGAACTCCACCAACCACCATCATTTGGGGGGAGTAGCTTCTTCTTTATAGTAAGTATATATAAGACGTAAGTAAATAACGAAACCAGTAAATTCTAAACGACCACCTAAGGGGGCATAGAAGCCGTGCAGATAAAGGTTGACATATACAGTAGCAGTAGCATATCATGCCGAGCTATTGAGGACCGTTCCAAGGGCACCGCCCGTCGTTTTAAAGGAAGGGAAAAAGGGAAGATCATGTACAAAAGCTGACCCAAATTCCGACCATCCAATTCAAGTACGTCGATCTACCGCCCAACCTGTGACTTGATGTTTTTAACAGACGCCATTCAAAGCTTTTTGTCTTTACTACAAGCCTGCAAGAGCCTTGGTGGGTTAGGGGTGTGGGTTTCGGGAGTTTGTGGGACTAAGAGCGAAGAGTAGTAGTATGAAACGAACGAAAGAAAAAAAAGTAAGAGAACGAGACGAGAAAAGTAGTGGTTTGTGGCGTTTGGTTTTAAATTTGGAAGAGTTTGAGAGTTTAGGTGCTTTCCAGGAGATTTGAGATGTCCGGAATCACCTGCTTAAGGCGGGTGATTCCAGGGGGGGTCTGCCATT